CTGCCGGGGGATCATCCTTCGCTGACGAAGCGCTTCTGCCATGAAGCTCTGGCGTTCAGCAGTGCAAAAGTGAGATTGAGACACATAAATATGATTATCTTCTTACATGTCTTTTCCAAGAATTCCTATAACAAAGAAAAACACAAAAACAAACCAAGCAAAGAACACTATATAAGACAAAACGGCAGACAACAATAAAGATAAACCCTTAACCTTTAATAACCCGATCTTACAACTCCATAATTCTAATAAACTTATATTTTTAGAAATATGTTAGTAGTAAATATCTTCAATAATTATTACTGAAAAATGAAATGCTTGTATTCCTAATATACAATCTGTATCTTTGTCTTCTTCTATGTTGGTATTTATTTCTTCATCTGCTTTATTCAATGCATCGTCTATATTATCTTCATCTACATATTCATCAAAGTCGTTCATCAATTAAACTTTTCTATAACTAAATTCATTGCCTCCATATTCTTTATCTGGGAGTTTTGCTACTATTTGGACTTCAATATGAAGTTTTGCTCTAAAATTTAAAGTATCATCTTCTACTTCTTCATAAATCAAAGATAGTAATTCTAATTTTTCTTCTGTTATGATGTTTCCTATTCTTTTCAAACTAAATGGCACTCCCTGCACTCCCTCTCTCATAATACAATACTCAATTATAGACATTATACATTTTGTTTCTTTGTCTTATCTTTCTGTCTATTTTCGGACCAAGTCTTGATATTTTATATTTGTTTTGTATTCTCTTCAATGCTTCACTATGCTTTGTTTTCACATATTCAGGTTCTCCAATTTTATAAGAAACAATTTTACTCATCAACAGGTAAATCCTTCATACAATCCATCCTACTATTCTGTATGTATACAGTATATTCAAAGAATAAAATCATAGAATTCTTTAAAATCTACTTAGCTTAAAGATAACTTAACTAAATACAATATATACTATTATATGATCATGATGAAAAATTATAGACGATCTATTGAATACTAATAAAGCAGAAATACACAAAAAAGGAAGAACATAATTAAAGGCAATAATAATAGATGACAAGAAATTCAGATACAACAAAGACAAACCCATATCAAATGTTTTAACACAGAGTTTATTGTCAGTAAAGAAAACTAACGAATACACAAGTTATGACATGAAAAAGGCAACGGATGTTGTAAATAGAGAAAGGGTTAGGCAATTAATTACCAAACGCGCAATAAGAAATAAGTTTGGGGTCAGAGAGATTCAATCAGCATTTAGAAGATACGCTAATTCAATGGTGTTAGAAAAGCAACACTTTCAAGGAGAACGGGTATTAGACATGATTGCGCACAAAAAACAAAGACTACCAGATTTTTTTCAAGAAACAATAGAAGCATGAAACTTAACATAAGAACGGAAGGATTATTTGAACAACCTGAATTAGGAAGTCAGGAACTTGTATATGCCCTACCATCAACCGGCTTCAATATTAGTAATGAGGATGAACTGACACGAGCATTGTAAGATAGTGTTATTCAAATCCGATTACAAATACAAAATTTAGAAGGTTCAACATTTAATTTAAGATTTAAGAGGATTGTATCAATAACTATTCACTATGACAAATATGACCCAACAAGAGCAGGGAGATGCATAGAATTACCAGAATGGATTAAACTAAAAAGGCATGTATCAACATTAACAAGAAAGACCCAAAATGCTTCATTGTATTCAATCCAAAGTCTATGACAAAATAAGCAAACATCACCCAGAGGAAATATTCCACTATAATAAACTGACAGATGATATTTTGAACTGGGATGGTGTACATTTTCCAACTGGCAATTAGGACATTGACAGATTTGAAGAAAACAGTAAATGCGAATGTCAAGCAAGATGACACGCGCAAATAAGAAGTGTACATCAAGCACTGCAGGCCTTTGAGTTTCATGTAAAAGTCCGCATGGTAGCGGAGCGAGGACGGAGATTTCGTAAGATCTCTCCCGAGCTCCAGCGGACCTAGCTCGACCCCCAGTCTCGATCCGCGTTGCTGTTGCCACCATAAACTAGTGTTGCACGATTTCGCAATCACTGCCAGCGGCTATCCCATCGAACTCTTCCTGGACTTTGCCCGTTATCCTACTGGTGGTGGACTATGGATCGTTCGGGTGGCTATGAGCCCACGGCTGGTCTTCCAGAGTTGACGCAGGCCTTGATCTCGGCTGCTCAGGCGGTGGCCCAAGCAGCCAGTGCAGCGGCGAGCTCTTCTACAGCAGCTGCAGCCGCAGGTGAAGGCGCTGATGGAGGAGTTTTGAAGAAGGATTTGGCCAAGCTCATTCCCCAACCTTCGGTCTTTAGCCCCCCTCAGACCGTGAGCAGGAGGTGATCCAGTGGAGAGATTGGTTTTGGGCCGTCAAGCAATACCTAGTGGTGGTAGATGCTGGCTATCAAGAGGAGCTGGAGAAACTGGAGGAGAATTTGTCTACGGAGATAGACTGGGACCTTTTGACGGCTTCAGATCAGCAGAGAGCAGGTTCCTCTATAGCCTTTTGGGAAGCTTGGTGCAAGGCAGGTTAGTTGGAGTGATCAAGAACGCACTTCGACAACTTCTTTTGAACTGCCAACCACAAGCCCGAAACAGGACGATGAGTTTGTTGCAGGGGGTAATGGCATATCCTGGCTTCAACATGGGCCAGATCCTCAAGCTTGAAAAGCACTTCACCCAGTATGGCAGCTTGGAGGGAAGCTGGCAAATGACATGAAATCGGCTGTTCTTCTTCGAGCTATCAGCGGCCAGATGAAGATCCACTTGAACCTTACTCTCAACGAGGGCAGTTCATACCAGAAGATCCGTGAAGCAATCATTGCTTTTGACGCGGCTACGACAAAGTGGAACGAGGCCGGCGCCGGTGCCCTAGCCTTCTCCAGTACGAGCCCAATCCAACAAGATTACAGTGGAGTTGCACCCATGGAGATCGACAGGCTGCAACAAAAGGGAGATGGCAAGAAGGGCAAGCAGAAGGGCAAGGACGACAAGGGCAAAGGCAAAGGAAAGAGTGGCAAGACGAACTATGGTAAAGAGGGGAAAGGCAAAGGTGGCAAACAGAACGCTGGAAAGGAAGGAAAAGAAAAAGGGGGCAAAGAGCAGAAAGGTAAGAGCAAAGGCCAGAACAATGAGGTTTGCTGGGCTTGCGGAAAGCCCGGACATCAGGCCAAAGATTGTTGGCGTGTGAGGCAGGTGGAGGCACCTACCACTCAGTCTATTTCGGGAGCAAGCCAGAACACTACTTCTCCTTCCACGACGACTACAGGCACCACGAGTGGGGGAGATCCGACTTTGAGTTTCACAGCCTCAGACAGTCTTTGATCTCAGGGACATGGACTTGGGAGGCTCAATTCGCATGGTGAGCATGTTGGAGGACCAGCAGGAGACGATTACTGAGTTCTTCAGCATTGCCACGGATGATGAGGATGAGGGCTGCATCAATGCGGTCTATGAGGTGATGGAGGAAGAAGAAGAGATGGATGGAGATCAGAGCATGGGAAAAGGGAGTTCAGTGAGTATCACAGTCGACTCTGGGGCAGACGCCTCGCTTTTTCCTGGACATTTGATGCAATGTGGAGATATGACTTCAGGACCTATTCCAGTGCTCAGGACGCCCAGGGCACTCAGATCAGGACCTTCGGCGTTCGTGACGTTGACATCCTCTTGAGGACAGTGGATGATGTTCAGGTGGTGATCAAAGAGCGGGTCACATTTTGTGATGCTGTGAGTCAGCCTATCCTGTCTTTTGGCAGGCTGATGAAGATGGGCTGGTCCATTGATGGAGGTGGCCAGTGTTTGAGGAATGGAATCCTAGCAATCCCACTTGCGTTTCAGAGCTGTTGTGGAAAAGGGCTATGTTCGCACGTTGAGTGTCACATTGAATGAGGAGTTGAGGACAACGTCCAACAGCCAGATTGGATGGAAGAAGAAGGGCGACGTGTGGGTTGGACTGCACCTGAGCAAGTGCTACCAGAGTCCACAGTTCATCCCTGAACTTTGCCAACAGGAGGAAGGTCTATGTCGCTCCACGCTGGTCGAGAAGCAAGGCCAGTGGGAGTTGGTGGAAATGGCTGAGCCGATTGATGGCATGGCAGATCAGGAAGAGGCTATTGAGGAGCTTCGTGATGAAGGCAATAGCAAAGTGATGAGCTTTGTGGCCAGTGAAGGCTACACCCCAGAAGCCTTTCAATTTGTGCTCAATGAAGAGTATGAGGCACCCAAGCCGAATCCGGAGCATATGAAGGACTTGGTGCAGAGATTCCTGGAGGTGATGAAGCTGAAGGGCTGGATCTTGATGATCAGAGAGTGCAGTTGGAAATTGGCATTGCCCTACCAGAGCAGTTGATGGTGAATGACGTAGTGCTCACAGTGGAGAGTCATTGCTGGATCTGTAATCATCGTGCCACCTTTTTCAACACTGCCGTTTCGTGTGCCATGAAGGAGATCTGTGTGGTTGAAAATTAACAAAGCGCGAGTTGCATTCACCATTTATGCCAACATGCCACCGGCGCGACAACTGCTGAAATGCGGCCAGCATTCATTTGAAGACAACTCGGTGTATAATTTGTCTTTGCACTGGTACTTTTATGATTTTATGTCGATTCGGTCTGGAAGCCAATGTAGTTAGTTGGTTTGTTTGTTTGATTGTTTCGGATTTGGCTTTGGTTCAGCACTCGAAAAGCCCTCGGTGCGCTCTCCATAAGCCGGGGGGGCCGAGTGGAGAAAAGGTATTGGATCAAGTTTCAGGTCACTTGGCGTTCGGCGTTCAGTCGGGTACTTCGGCCACATGTTTCTCAACTGTTCCTATTGCAGAATGGTCGAGTCGTGGGATGTTGCGTTTTATTTTTCAAAAGATCGATAAAAGATCAGGAACCTCCCGTGTTTGTCCGTTTGTGGAAGAACCACAGGGTCGCAGAGGCCTGTTGTGCAAACGAATCGGCATAGCAGCATACTTTGGGAATGTTTGGGATGCCTACGCCTACGCGGTTTACCGACTCTGCAATATCACTGAGCTGAGTAGTTTGCTGCCACTTTTGGGTTTTAAAGGTATATTCCTTAAAGTTGGAGAGTCAGCTGCAGTTTGTGTGGCTAGTGATCCATCATTTGCCAGCGGATAAGGTCCACATGATGAGAACTTTGATCCTCAGTTTGCTCGGCCTACTGGAGGCCACTTGAGTGGATAAACTTGAACAGTTGGTGTTGATTCAATAAATCGAATCGCTACCAAGGCCGCTCCCAATTTTGATAGCTGATATATAGATGAGATGAAAGCAGATCAAGGGCCTGTGTATATAAGTTCGGGCTGGATTGATAGCTATTGACCAAGAGGCAATATTTCCTTTATATAAGTAGTTCCTTGGCATGCATTCCGAGTACCATTTCTGAACACATGCCCTGAGTGCTGGTGGTGACTCAGTTATTCAAGCAGCCTGATTTGCACTGACAAGATGGCCAGGCTAGTGTTTTGGAAGAGAAGGTCCTAGCGGCTCGGCATTTCAAACAGTTGTTTGGTACGATCAAGAATTGTAACGTTTAGCGGCGGGCAATTTGGCATCAAATAGCCGTCAAGACATTGTGACAGCAGCAGCACCAGCGAAAGTAGCAATACTTTGTAGTAGTTCTTCACCGTTTTGCACTTCGCAACAACAACTGCTGCGAGAGTTCTGCCACAAGCATGGCTGCAGCTCTGCTTGCGTTCACCGTTGCAGTTGGTGGTCAGGAGTCTGTGGCGAGTGGTGCAGTGCATCTAGCGCTGGATGGATCTGGGACAGTGGAGCAGGTGACCAGTACTGCGAGCCGGGACACAAGGGCCGCCTCTCAAAACCAAAGGCAAGATTTGTCCATATTTGTCCTGAAAACAACTTGCAGAGGGCATCAATCAAGGGAAGCAATGTGTATTTCAGGCTCACTGAGGGCAATTTCGTTCCGTTTCCATTGCTTGAGCCTTTACCGGTGTGTATAAATATATATATATATATATGTGCGCGCCCACTTTCAGAAGATTGATGACTCCAGGTTGAGGTGCCAGCCGAACGACCATTTTGGAAGAAGGCAAAGAAGCAACTTGGGCCTGTGACAGAAACTAGGCAGCTGACACATATAGCGCATATAGTAAGAATTGAGTCCGTTGAAACATGTTGACACCTTTTCTGCATTGTGTAGTTTGAAGGTGCTATCAGTCTTCCCAAAAAGGGTCAGATAATATACAGGACAGGTGCATTTTCATGCACAGTCGATTTTAGTTGACAGAGTGGTGCGCCACTCGATTTGTTTCACCCACGGAAATCGCCGAGGTATGACGACGATGTCGGGGCCTTTTTCGTACTGCCTTTGTCGAACTTGGCTCCGGCCACGGGCTCCGTGGCCTCGCTGTTGGCGTCCAGCCATGGCTGCGTCGTCACTTGAGCAGGTTGAGAAAAGCCTTGAAGCTGCGAACCTTACACAGGACGAGAGGCAAGAGGCAGCACCGCCCTGTGTTCTTTACTGTTCTTTTGCGTACTTATTTGCGACACAATTGTTCACATATTCACGTTTTGATAAGTTTGGGGTTTAAGTTTCTGGAGAAACTCCACAGAACCTGTGGAACTTCTTTCTGCAGCCTCCTAGCTTTCAGGTGGAGAAGAATCTTGATGACCTGTTGAACCACACAAACATCACGCTCTACCAGGCCGGGTCTTGCGTTTGCCTTTCCTTTTTCTGCTTTGTGGGTTGCCCCACATGTGTATGTCATTATGAGTTTTTCCTGTGTTTGTACTGGTAGTTCTGCTTTCAGTTCGCCAAGATGCCAAGGAATGGGGTGTTGCGTCCTTGGTCCGGACGCTCTGTGAACTGTGGACTGTGACGAGACTCTAAGAGCTTTTACACCAGTAGCCAACCATTAGCAATCCAACTTACCTGCGGAATCTCATGCAGATCATGCAGAACAAATCAGCAACTTGGTGAAGATGATGTCAGATGCTTGCAGCAAGATGACACTTTCTGTTTGCCAAATTCAAGCCTGGTTGAGTTGGAGGTATCATCAAGTTTTGATGTCACCTTTCATAGTATTTGTTCAGCAAATGTCGCTTGTCAAAGGATTAGTTTGATTCGTTTCTAGGTTTGTCAATTTTTTGAGCAAGTCAAATAGTTGAGATTTCTATATAAACACAATAATCTCAACAAACAGCTGGTGTTTGTTGGTGTTCAACCAATGTGGTGTTCATCCAAGCCCCCCCCCAAACCATTCAATTCTGATCCATGCGAGGTCCAGATCGAGCGCCCCAACCACACCGTAGCGCTCCGAAACCATTCGTCCACGGTGTCGGTGAAGGGCACGGACAGGGCACGGCACGTCTTCGGGTTGGTGGGAAGGATTTGTTCGGAGCGAATCAGGGCGGCTTTGTTGGCAGAGAACTGCCCAAAAAGACTCATACTCGAAGGACATGATGAGTGGAAGTTCAGTAGAAACGAAGAGTATCGAAGGAAATGAGACACATGCCCGATTTTTGAGACACATGCACAGGATTGAAGACGGCGCTATCAAGCTTTGATGGGCATTGCTCGAGCAACTCTGCGCAGGATCCCCGGTTGAAGGCCCTGAACGAGCAACATGACAACCTCACTCGCTTGGTTCATTCGCAGGCCGGGCTTCAGTTTTTTGAGAAACACCCAAACACAGGAAGCTTGGTTTGCCAGAGGGGTTCCTTTCCATCAGTTTTCCTCCAAGAAAGACATGCACTGGTTGGTAAGTGTTATGTTGAATTGCAAGAAATCACATAATTCAGAGATTGACATCAAGTCTGTTCGTGGTTGGGGTCTGCCAAGCTCTGGAGGCGTTAGACCCTCCTATGACCACAACTGGATCATCCACTTTTTGAGGGTCAAAGCTGTCAGGCCGATGTGGTGGCACACACCTCTGCGAATTTGGCCAAGAACAATGAGGTGGGCCGGGACAAGGATGGTGATGCACCCAAGAATGGTCGAATCACTTCCTGAAGATGCTGATACACCCAAGGCCGCAGCTCCATAATGTAGTTGATTGCCTTTGAAGAGTCTCATTCTATGCATCCTGTGCAGAAGAGATGGGCCAATGTTGCGACGGGATCTCCAAGATCGCACCGGATTTTCAGGAGATTGACAAGCAAGAGCTGGAGGTAGCTCACGCAGGGGATCTGTACAACAAAGCTCATGCTGACACTCTCAGAGCTGAGAAGGCCTTTAAGGCCGGGTGAAAGCTGTGAAAGCACACAGAGCTTCCCTACAGAAGAAGGCCTTCAAACAGTGTTGAACAAGTGTATACAAGTAAATAAATAAACAGACAAACACATAAATATGTATATATTTATATATTCATTGTTCGTTGTTGAAAGCTGGACTTGCAGTATTCAAAACTACATATAACCTAGCAACCATGCAAGGGCAAACTGTGAATGGAGTTGAGCTCCTGAAAAATCAAGTTTCGTAAGACAGCAGTCTCTGCAAGCCGCACTGAAAGCCACGGAATCCACCGTCGTAGTTCAAGAAGCTTGATCTCGCTCGCTGAAACCTCCAGGTTTTGAGCGATTAGTTGCACATCCCCTGTGACCCAGGATCACATGGTGGCGCTCGCCATTGCCAAGAAGCGCCGGGATGACCTGCGAAGGAAAGCAGAGGAGGCGAGAGCCCAGCGGGACACTCCCGGGGACACCCGTGTCGAGGATCTTGAACCAGTTGCACACAAAAACACATTCCCCAAACTATCCATAGAGGATCGGTAGAGGCACTTGGAACATTTTGGAACTTTTTAGCGTCGTGGGAAGAATTCTGATTCGTCGCATCTCACACGCCAAATACACTTAGACTCATTATATAGTTGCAGACGAATACTTAGACATCATTTTTCAAAACTCGAAACCCTTTAGTTAGAACATCGGGCTTTGAACATCCAGTGCAAACACACTTAGAACATGGACGGAATGTACTCTTAGAACAAGAGAAAACAGCACACATAGAATATCATAGATTGATATCAGACGTTGAGAGCACCTGTAAATTGTGTTTTTCCTCTCTCTCTCTCTCTCTCTTTGTCTTTCTCTCCCTCCCGTCAAAGCCATCACAAGCGCCCATTTAAGGGTAAAATCTTTGTTTGCCAAGGGACTATGTTTTTAGTGTAGGGCATGGGATGTTCTTGGTCTAGAGTTAGAGCCTTTGCTGACACATGCTCTTCGAACATCGTGACCTATGTAATAGAAAACGTTTTTTTCCCCAAATATAATCTTAAGTGTATTTCTTACAATCTAGCCGTACAACATAGTAAACAGCATCTATTCTGTGCACTTCTTCCTTTTCCAGCATCCTTTGTGCCCTCTGCTGCCAGGCCAGAAAGGTTTTGGAGCAGGTTGGGCCCCAGGCCAATGCTGCAGAGGTGGGAGATGGAGAAACAAAGCCGGCCTGAACTGAGTTCTGGCATGGAGAAGCGTGGAATCACACTGCTACGTTCCAAAGATGCCACAAAGCACTGTTCGAGATGTTTCCAGTTTACAGTAGTCAGTTTCACAATTTGGTCCAACCAAAATTTGAGTGGAGCAGCACCGCAGTATCACCTGAACATCTTGATGTCGAGAACTCCTGGACTCAAGGCCGGGCAGACAAATCTGACGAGATGCTGTGAGAACGGGGTCAATGGAAATGAAATGATACATGATAATGAGCAGATGATTCCTCATAGAATCGAACCCACAGGAATGTCAGAGCTGTAGAGATGAGCATATACTGATACGGTCAATCAAAGTCAGAAGCAGTGAGATTCGGATGACACAACCCTAAAAGAACATTAATCTGACAAGAGCCATGGACAACCTGTCCAAAGTTCTTGCTTTCCCAGTTGGACGGGGTAAAAAGGAATGTGGAGGATAAGGATTCCGCAGCAGCTGTCCAGAAGTTTTGTATTTTGTGACATGTCTGGATCACCAAATCCACTTTGTTTTGAAACCTTGGATGATGTGTTTCAACCAGCGACCCAGGAACACGCCAAGTCCAAAGACCAGGACGAGGACAAGATGGCCGATTACTTGGAGGCACGTCAACGGAGCACGTCAACGGAACCGCGCGATGGCCAATGGCTTTCTGACCTTGCGAGTCACCGGGAGCCAAGGATTACCAAGCAAAATCAAAACGTTCAGCATTTTGAATTCACCGGTCCTTTTGTTTTAGTTGTTCATGACTGCCATAAGCCTGACGCCAAAAATTGTGTTGCCCCTTCTCATTGAGGGTGAACATGGTTCGTTCTGCACCACTAGTCTCAGTCTAAGTCGTGCACTGTTTGTGAGCTCCTGTCCAGGCGGAGGAAAAGAAGGCAAAGGACATGCAGGTCACATGTGGGAGACGGAAGGGATGATATCCTCGCAGCCGGACAAACATTTTCAACTATATGTAGTTACGTAGTAGCAGCAGTTGTCGGTCAGTCTTTGAATGGAGTCCAGTGACCTTCTTCAGTTTCTGAGATTAGCTGCGTATAAAGACGGAGATAAGGCCCGCATCCCCAGAACCTGAGCACATCAATCCGAAGAACAAAAATCAAGTGAGACAGCTTGGTTCGGATACTTGAGACAGAGAGGAACAACACGTGAAAAACATTGAAAAACGTATTAGTTCTTAATGTATCCTTTTTTCCCGAATGCGTAGCGAAGGGTTCTCGTTCTCGTTTAACTCTTGGGGGTCTGAGAGTAGAGCCTTGTTCGCGACCCGTTGTTTCTATGTTCGCAACCATCCGCAACCGTTCGCAACCGTTCGCAACCGTCCGACCGTTCGCAACCGTTCGCAGGTGTTCGCAGTAGAGCGCTAAGGCGCTGCCATTGGGGGAAACTTTTGGAGAGCGTTTCGGATGAAAACGTGACGTGTCAGATTCGTGTGAAATAGCGAGGAAATGGTGTGGAAATGTAAGAGGTTGATTCGCTGCGCAGGCGCAGCGTTTTGTGAGATCCGCAGTTTACTGCGCAGTTCCATTGGGATTAGCGTTTGGAGAGTCGTGTTTTTGGGTGTTGGATGTGGCCGTGCCATTGGGATTTGCGTTTCAGGGTGTGGCACCGAAGCTTTGTTTTCGTGACAAGTCTCAGCTGAAATGGCGATTTTGGTGGATAGGAGTGTGCTCAGAACGGGTCGAAATCATTCCAAACGTGTGGTGTGGTGCAAATTTTGTTGAAGCTCACGTGAGATGATATTGTCACTTTTCGTGGCAGGCGCAGTACTTTGTGCGGATTTTGAGGTGTGGAAGTGCGATTTTCGTGGCAGGCGCAGGAAATCGTGAGGTTGCGAGGTGTGACGGAGGTGACATTTCGTGGCAGGCGCAGTACTTTGTGCGTTAGACGTGTGGATGCGGAAAGATTCGTGGCAGGCGCAGGGAATCGTGAGGTCGTGAGTTGTGGTAGAGGTGAATGTCGCTGTCACATTGGGATTGGCGTGTGAGCGGGTATTGTTTGGAGGGGCTGGACTCGCGAAACTGCTTGGCAGGGCTGCGTGATGTGTGTGCTCCGATGGGTGTTTCCGCTTGACTTTTGGAGGAAGTCTCGTACAAAGTGCTCGTTTTGCAGACTTTGACATGTGAGTTTTGTAGGAAGTCTCGTACGAAACGCTCGTTTTGGAGACTTGACACGTGACTTTTGGAGGAAGTCTCATACGAAACGCTCGTTTTGGAGACTTGACGTGTGACTTTTGGAGGAAGTCTCGTACGAAGCGCTCGTTTTGGAGACTTGACGCGTGACTTTTGGAGGAAGTCTCGTACGAAACGCTCGTCTTGCAGCCTCGAAGCGTGACTTTTGGAGGACGTCTCGTACGAAACGCTCGCAGGACTGCTTCTAGTGCGCCACAAGATGTTAAGAGTGTCCTACAAGAGTGTCCCACAAGAGTGTCCCACAAGAGTGTCCTACAAGAGTGTCCCAGAAGAGTGTCCCACAAGAGTGTCCTATAAGAGTGTCCCACAAGAGTGTCCTACAAGAGTGTCCCACCAGAGTTTCCTACAAGAGTGTCCCACAAGGAGTGTCCTACAAGTGTGTCGTGTAAGAGTGACCCACAAGAGTGTCCCACAAGAGTGTCCCACAAGAGTGTCCTACAAGAGTGTCCTACAAGAGTGTCCCACAAGAGTGTCCCGCAAGAGTGTCCCACCAGAGTGTCCTACAAGAGTGTCCCACAAGAGTGTCCTACAAGAGTGTCACACAAGAGTGTCCTACAAGAGTGTCCCACAAGAGTTTCCTACAAGAGTGTCACACCAGAGTGTCCCACAAGAGTGTCCCACAAGAGTGTCCCACAAGAGTGTCCTACAAGAGTGTCCTACAAGAGTGTCCTGCAAGAGTGTCTCACAAGAGTGTCCCACAAGAATGTCCGACAAGAGTGTCCCACAAGAGTGACCCACAAGAGTGTCCTATAAGAGTGTTTCGCAAGAATGTCCGACAAGAGTGTCCCATAAGAGTGACCCACAAGAGTGTCCTATAAGAGTGTTTCACAAGAATGTCCGACAAGAGTGTCCAATAAGAGTGACCCACAAGAGTGTCCTATGAGAGTGTCCCACAAAGAGTGTCCTACAAGAGCGTCGTGTAAGAGTGACCCGCAAGAGTATCCCACAAGAATTTCCTACAAGAGAGTCCCGCAAGAGTGTCCCACAAGAGTGTCCTACAAGAGTGTCCCACAAGAGTTTCCTACAAGAGTGTCCCACAAGAGTGTCCCACAAGAGTGTCCTACAAGAGTGTCCTACAAGAGTGTCCCGCAAGAGTGTCCCACAAGAGTGTCCTGCAAGTGACCCACAAGAGTGTCCCACAAGAGTGTCCCACAAGAGTGTCCCTTAAGAGTGCCCTACAAGAGTATCCCACAAGAGTTTCCTACAAGAGTGTCCCACAAAGTGTCCTACAAGAGTGTCCTACAAGAGTGTCCCACAAGAGTGTCCCACGAGGGTGTCCTACAAGAGTGTCCCAGAAGAGTGTCCCACAAGAGTGTCCTATAAGAGTGTCCCCCAAGAGTGTCCTACAAGAGTGCCCCACAAGAGTTTCCTACAAGAGTGTCCCACAAGAGTGCCCCACAAGAGTGTCCCGCAAGAGTGTCCTACAAGAGTGTCCCACAAGAGTGTCCCGCAAGATTGTCCCACAAACGTGTCCTACAAGAGTGTCCTATGAGAGTGTCCCACAAGAGTGACCCACAAGAGTGTCCCATAAGAGTGTCCCACAAGAGTGTCCTACAAGAGTGTCCCACAAGAGTTTCCTACAAGAGTGTCCCACAAGGAGTGTCCCACAAGAGTGTCCTACAAGAGTGTCCCACAAGAGTGTCCCACAAGAGTGTCCTACAAGAGTGTCCCACAAGAGTGTCCCACAAGAGTATCCCACAAGAGTTTCCTACAAGAGTGTCCCACAAGGAGTGTCCTACAAGAGTGTCGTGTAAGAGTGACCCACAAGAGTGTCCTACAAGAGTGTCTCACAAGAGAGTGTCCCATAAGAGTGACCCACAAGAGTGTCCTACAAGAGAGAGAGTGTCCCACAAGAGTGTCCTACAAGAGTATCGCACAAGAGTGTCCTACAAGAGTGTCCCACAGGAGTGTCCCGCAAGAGTGTCCTCTAAGAGTGCTCCACAAGAGTGTCCTACAAGAGTGACCCACAAGAGTATCCTACAACAGTGTCCCACAAGAGTTTCCCACAAGAGTGTCCTACAAGAGTGTCAGTTGGACATATGTATATAGCTTTTCGAACGTGTTTGCATTCGGGTTCGTGGGCTCCATCTTGTTAAATTCCTCTTTCGGCGGGCGGATAGGCCGCTAGAGGTAGCTAGTAGCTAGATAGGTAGCTACAGTAGTACCTACAAGTAAGCTACTGCTTAGGACGCAGGATAGTGCTCGCACCATTAATTTGGTTCCTAGATTTTTAGGAAAACATAACAGATGGTTGAGTTATCATTGATCAACGGCTGAGATGATGCGACGGGCCGGCAACCTGGGGCCACAGGGCTTCACTTTGACAACCTGGGCATGGGTCAAAACCTAGCAAACCGTGGAACTTATGGGTTGGACATTCCAGGGTTGCTGGGTTTTGGCGCATTGCAAAGTTCTGTTTGGATCACGGCATTTGCAGTGTGCTTGCTGGGGGCCAGTGGAGTTGGCGTAGTATGTCACGTGAATGTGACGTGGGGCGTTCCGAGTTGAGAGTTCACTTCCCGGCTTTTTGCCCACCAAAACATCAAGGATTACAGTATTGTTTGGTCAGGTGTTGACTACAGAAGTCTCTGTTTATTTGTTTGTTTGTTTGTTTGTTATCCTGATTTTCATAGAGCAGTGGTTTCCTTAGATCCTTTTTGCAATGATGAGAGGGATTCAAAAGGGATTCTCATCCACCCACCCAGCCATTGGGATCCCGACGGACCGGGAAACCTGCCAGATCAAGCTCACGGGCGACGACTCTGCCTTGCAGGCCTTTGGATTTGATCAAGATCATCCAGTTTTTTCGGTTTGCCACTAATAGCAAGATACCATATGTTTGGGATACCTGGTAAATGCTACATACTACTCATGGGGCAGAAGCTATTGGGTCATGCAGCTGTAGCTGCAGCTGACTGCAAGCTATTGCAAGGATCGGGATCGGTATTGCGACACGGCTGGGGGCATTCACGAATGTTCAGGCACTTTGTCGAAATGATGTTCCTCGGTTCAAGGCACTAGAACTCATGAAGAGACTGACTCCATAGACCAAATGCTGGCATGCTCTGACTTGAAAACCATGATTGGGCTTTCAATGGGACATGTCCCAAGACAAAGACCATCTTAGGCTTAAGGCGTCCATTCACACATAGCCAATAGCAATGAATTCCGTCACCAAATTTGGTTTGATGGTTTTGGTGGGCATTGACATGAAGTAGGTTTGAAGTCTACCGATCTACTGAAGACTGCAGTGTTTCCAGTTTGACGCGGGCATCATCCATGTATTTTTGTGCTTCTCCAAGCTAGGTGTTGGTTATAGTTAGAATGTCCTTCTTAACTGTTCCTGGAGCAGCCCCAAGTCAGTCGAAACATCCGACCCAGCGCTGCGCCAGGCGGCCATTGTCAAGCTGAACGGACTCAATAGTGACCTGAAGCGGATCGAGGCCATTTTAAGCTGTGGAGGTGGATCAAATCAAGGATGACTAAGGTATTACTAAACAAAATGGATTTCTACAAAACATCAGCCACAATAAGAAGGTCTTGCCTTTGATGCTTTCAATCGCAGCATGTGCTATCCTGGCGTACAGCATCACATCGACCTGTTGGTATTTGCTAAGCTTGGCCTGAAAACAACAATTGCAGCCACACTTGCGCGGGTACCAGCCATTTTTCACAATCACAGCTTTTGAAGGTTAGTTTGGGATACCCAGCCTTTCTATCCCTCAAAAACGAGAGGACCCCCCCTAAATTACTAAAAGCTTATATAAATGAAAAGAAGACACGCAACAAACCCATTGGCTTGGGAGTTTGGCGAAACGAACTCCGATTCGACCCATTTCCGTCTCCGGAGCCCGGAAGCCCGGCCCAGGAGAAGATCATTCACTGGAACGGCGAAGCCCGGCCTTTGGCGATGGTGCCGGTCGCGCTGGTCTCATTGCTTCTGGGTTTCCACGGTCTGCGGCTCAGAGACGGAAACGTGGAGAGGCGGGGCCCGGCGGGGTGGGGGTTGGGGCCACTGCCATTGGGTAAAAGATTGGACCACGTTCAGCACCTGAGAAGCTGCTGGGAACTGGTGGAGAACCCTGGCTGCTAGACATGACCTTGGCTAGGCTGAGTCCCTTTGATAGCAGGATTGAAGCTGGCAAGTGACTCAGGATGCACTCACAGGTTCTTCACGATTGCACTACGATCCCCGGTTCTTTTGCTCAAAGATTGTTGGTTCGCATGTCCACTGGTTGGTCAGTTTACAGTTTCAATAAAGGCTGCCAAGCACCTCGATGATCTCTCTTGAGGTCAACTTTGAGTGTGGTGAGTAGTAAGTGTAGAGGGTCCTGCGCATCCAAAACAGGGTGCTGCAGCTCCTGTCTGACACAATCCAACTCTGACGGTCTGTTGAAAGGCAGACACCACGAGTTGCGTTGGAGAAAGATGCCGTGGACGTGCACTTGAAGACCCAATCCTACATACAGAAGTTGTAAATGCCACATGTCACCATGATTATAAAGAAGAAGCTAGAAGCTAGAAGCACCTTCGACCCGATATGTTGGATATAGTCTTGTTAGAGTCAAGCACGCATCAAGCAGCTGTTGACTCCTTGGTCAGTCCCTCTTTCTCAGACAACTCTTCGTTTTATACTGGACATCATCCAGTTTTCACCTCAAATAGGCCTAGTAAGTTGCAGAACATGACGTGGACTCTCGACGACGTTTTCCCCCAAAGGACCCACATCATCACATCCCTTTTGAGCGGACAGTGCCGCGCCAGCTCGGACCCGGGCGTCGCGTCGGCGCGGGCGCGGGCGGTGCGTCGGCCTTGGAGACGGTCTGTGCGTCGACGGGGCGACGGCCAGCGGTTCACCACCGCACCTGAGCTGCAAGGACTTGTAGATTCTTCCTGCATGATACCGGACATAACACTGATTTCAGGCTCTCACCTTGCAGTTGATTCCTGCTTCCTTTCTAAATCACGTGAATCTGATGTCATGTGCAAGTCACGTGATCAGCCTATGATCAGCCTGCAGTCCGGATTCTGGGTGCTTTGTGTCACTTTGTGTTTTGAAAGAAGATTTCCGAGTTCTGGGTGATTCCATACACACCAAAACAAGCCCATTGGTTGGTGTCCCTTCGAACACTCCACGTAACACTTCTTCTCGCCGTCGCCGTCCAGGCCATGCGAGCGCAGCTGGGGGTTTGGGTTCCAAGATGGATTGTAAGCTCACCTGGATGGGGGTTTTGGAAGATGTTCTTTATGAACTCTGAACAACTATAGAATCTATAGAATGCAACGGACCTGTAAACCTGACACTGATGGTCATACGGCCAGATGAAAGTGGCAGGACCAAGGAATGAGTGGTCTCACTTGTTGGTTGGACGGCAAGACTTGACCTTGCTCATAAGAGTTGTTGTGGAAGGTTTCGTGCCTTTGTGTGGCACTTTCTTTATTGGCGTACCTTCACTCTTCGATCGTTCACATTCATTAGTCGGGGACGCGGTTGTGACCCAAGTGTTCTTGATTTATTGTCTCCATTGCATGTGAGAAGCTAATCTTGAAGCGATCATGGTGAATGGAATTTTTATGTATTCCACGCTTGCGACGGAGCTTACAGACCTTGCCATTCCTGTTGAGACTGTTGAGGCCTGTGTCATTGTGCTGCCCTTTTTCCTGGGCTTCGTGCCTGGTGCACTCAGACAATGTACCTTGAGAGTGGCAGCCTTCATCGATTGGTTCTACTTGAACCGTTGGCTTCTTCAATGCGTAACATGCATGAGGGGGAAAGAGGTTGAAGGATTTGGCAAACATGGACTGCTTTATTTAGATTAAGTCGAGAACATCTCCGAGACCGGTCTCTTCTCCTGAGGAACTTCAGCACCCCGCCGCCTCCTGCGAGGCTCGAGAGCCTGAAATCGAGCGAGAGAGAGAGAGAGAGGTGCTCCTTGTTCTTGGCATGTTGCTTTGATCATCCTCATATTCACTGTGTTTTTTTTGTTTCGTGCGTGCGATTCTTGAGAATCCGTTGACCGCTACTGAAAGACATGGAGAGTCGATATTCCTGAAGCAGCTCCGCTCGAGTCAAGTTGTTTCTTTTAAAAGGGATTTGACAGGTGCTTCTAGAGAGGCTGATGTAAGTTTCCTTTCTTTGGGAGAGGGTGGTAGTTTTTGGGGCCTCAGCACCTCCAGTGCAGGAGCACAGAGATAGAAGTTGATGGAGCACAGCACGGCTTGCCGGATTTGGGATGTGGGGGTGGAATCCTGATGACAGCAGAGCAGATACGAATTGGCTTCGGACTGACCCAAATGGCGATCGCAACTGGCAACTTCTTGTATTGGACTCAACCAGCGGACTGATTGATGTTGATATGTCGCTCACAGCGGTCTGCGCCGCCTGTGCCAGGTACATTCCCTTGAAGGTCGCAAGCTTCGCCATGGGCGCATTAAAGCCCTTCTTCCAGGTGCAGGCAACGGCCCAGGATGACGGTTTTCTCCTGCCACACTGGAGATTCTCTCTCTCTCTCTCTCTCTCGTGGACATCTTGGCCATGCAGATGCAATGCTGGACACTACTGTTGAAGCTAAAATTTGTCAACAAAAACGGTGGTTGCCATTCAGAACTAGAATTCAGAACACTCCAATAAAGTGAGATCATTTCAGCCTCTTTCAGAACCACCCGTTGAGGCCTCCGTTCAAGCGGGGCGATACGACAAGTGGGATGTGCGGAAAGAGATCGAGGAAGACTCTCAGAGTGGACAATTCGTCCAAAGGCCATGGTTTTTCACCTACACCACTTGGTCAATCATGGAGCCACGTCCAAAGGCCATGTCCACTATCAGTGCACTATAGTCTCTAGTCTCGCCTCGCCCGGGTCTTCTTGTATTGCAACGAAGGGGGTCTTGGCATCCACATCCGACTCACACTCCGGACGGGAAACGGGCGGAAAGCCCGTTTTCGACTCTGAGGAGTCTTGACGCGGAGCCCACGAGAGGTAGGGCTGGTTCTGGACCAACCGCCACCGTTTCCTCTGTGAGCCACGTTTCTCTGGTAGGGCCACACGAGGTAGGGCTGGTTCTGTGAGCAGCTCTTGGACGCTCTTGCCCCTTCTTTGGGACTCCCCTTGCTCCGAGTCCCTTGATGCAGATTTTGGCAAGACCTCTCGCACACAGTGAGCTTTATTCCCTCAGGTCTTCCCGGTTTTTGTGAACTTTTCCCTTGCATCCAAGGAAATCAAGTCAGCCTTGCCTGCCACGCTTAAACCTGCAGTTCAGTTTAGTTCAGAGTGGCCAAGGGTATTGTTTACAGCTTCAAGGTTTATCTGATCAAACACGCAAGAGAGAGAGAGAGAGAGAGAGATAGAGAGAGAGAGAGAGAGAGAGAAAGAGCCTTGGGCCAACCTATGATGCAGCAGATCAGATGTGAGAGGCAACTGATGGCTTCTCAAAAGCATTTGCTCATTCTTGCTTAGTTTCCGGGGCGGCCTTGTAAAACATAGTTGTCTTTTTATGCCATGCACTGAACCTTTTGTCCATAGCATTACAGAACTCAATGTCAAGAGGTTCTTGCTGTGGAAATTGTAATTTGGTTTGTCAAACATTTGGGTGCCCCACAGTATGAAGACTGGGGTGGGCTGTGTTTTCACAACGGGTTCCTATCCCAGACAGTGATTTGCATATTTTGCCAGTTCCAAAGTGCTGGAGGCGGAGTTTGTCCATTCAAGTTCCGTATGACAGGCGCCTGTGGTGATCTACACCTACGACTGGTCCCCCTTTTCGGCAGAGGCGCCTCTTGATGTGTGTCTAGACGCGCAGTAACTGAGTTGCAGAGCTGTGGGATGTTCTTCACATGGCTTCCCGGTGATCTAATTTAGTGTCAAAGACATTGATCTCCCTTTGGCCAAAAACGTCGCTGGAGGTCTTTCGTTTTTCCACGGCGCGACGACGGCGCAGTAACGACGGTCGCGACGTTGGGATTGCGTGTCGAGATCGTGTCGTGTTTTCATGAGATCCGAGAGGCCAAGAAGGTCTTGGATTCCATGGGGGCAGACTACAGAGAGGTGGGCTCGGTGACGGATGGGAGGGGGGATGAGGGGGGTTTTGGGTCCACAGGACCAGTGAGGTGAGGTCCTGAGGTCCTTCAGCTGTTTGGACCTAGAGGCTCGGTATTTCATCACAAGAGGAGCTTTCAACACCTGCTCCCAGTGTGCAACTCACGACTACTTGTACCTGCCGATTCTTCTGCGGATGGGGTGCCTTCGTTTCGGCAGTGCAACGTTTGATGCAGGTGTCGCTGGGCGCTGAATGGTTCCTAGCGTCGCCTCAGCAGGCAGCAAAGCGGGCAGAGTGGGGTGCCTAGGAGCTGTGGAAGTGTGGAACGTGTGGAGCTGCAGACTTTTCAAAAAACACATATATTGCAAAACGGACATTTGCGCTTGCTTGCCAGTCTCGGAGAATTGAAAGCTGATCGCAATCATGTTTCCTCTACCACCGCGTGCTTCATGACAGAAGGGAAACATAGAAGCATGGACAAGTGCTGCTGCATGGCATGGCAAACCCTTCGTCAACATTGATTGGATTGGTGCATTGCAACTGGTGCATTGCCCAGTGTGCCCTGCAGGATCGTAGAATTGAACCTAATTGTTTGACCAAGGCTCGGGAATCTCTACGGGTGTCTCGGATGAGAGCAGAATGGACTGTTTTTTTGACCAAGAGGTCTAAACCTTTCCAATGATACCAGACACTTTCACTTGAGGTTTTGATTCATCCACATGGCAAAGGCTATCTCCTAAGCCCCAGAACCATGCAAGAGCCATCCTGTGTGACTATCACTGCACCGTACTAGCTGCATAGCAGCTTTACGCGGTGATTGGACATTTAGACAGAGAACTGTCAGGCTAGGCTCCCATGGTATGCAGCTGTCAGTGCAACCTGAATCAAGTGTGCTTTTACCACTTCGCAAGACCGTCATGGATTAAGAAACACCTCGGCTGGGACCTTGGTTGGCTAGATTATGTTAGATTGGTTGATGCAATCTTTGATGGGAGGTGAGGAGGGCCTTTCCAAGGCGGACCAGCATGCCCCACATCTTCATCGGTGGGCGTAGTGCTGGGAGGCTTAGTTTGCACAACGCCCGGTCATAGAACCATCGAACTTGAGGACTTGGCAGCCCACAGTGAGACACAACCCAAAGTTGATAGCAGCAGTCCCGACAGCTTGGCAGATAGACTTGAGGCATTGATTCTTTAATATTCATTGTCAACCCCCATTTGTTTAATCTTGCTGTCTTTACTGTTGCACCTTTGGTCATTCACATTTATTTACCATGCTTTGTTGGATACAATGCCATTCCCCACGCTAGCCGACTTTGCCAGCGTTTTTTTTGTGCCTCATAGTGTTGGCAGACACAGTGCTGGATACTTAA